TGACCAGTTCAGGCTGATTCAGTGGCTGTCCATTTAGCTCAAGTCCAAATCTCAATTCAGTAATTAAATTCTTGGCTGACTCATATCATCATTATGATAATCATTGCAGCAGCACAGACTATTTTTCTGTTTGTCAGAATTGGTTGATATTTGAAGCCTGATTAAGATCTGGTTCCCTTCATATGAGTCCTACTTTTATTTATTCCATCTTGTAAACCTGTCCAAATCAGCCCAATTGGCTTTGGGGCTCATACGAGCTTAAAAGAATACCTTCAGTGAATACAATTGTGTTGTGTACATTCAAGTCATTTCTGACATATAGTGACCCTAAAGTGAACCTATCATTGGTTTTTCTTGACAAGATTTGTTTAGAGGAGGTTCACCATTGTCTTCCCCTGAGGCTGAGAGTATGTGACTTGCTGAAGTTACCGAGTGGGTTTCATGGCTGAGCTGGGATTCAAAACCTGGTCTCCAGAGTTGTAGACCAAAATTCAAAGCACTACACCATGCTCATATTCCTTAGTTAGCTTCAGAGAAAGATTTGTTGGACTCAGATTATGATAAGGATTTCTATATGAGCAGAAGAACAAAAATGGGGAAGGAGTGAAGGAGCAGCAATGTTTTCCACACTATTAGCTTTGTGTACAGTTCCCCCCTCTCTTTTGATAGTGGAGGGGCTGAGCCCACCTTTCCTCTGCACCTACAAGCAGTTAGCCTGTTGTATGTGAAAGAGGAATGATGCAAAAAAAAAAAAAGATCAAATATGGTACTGCAGGGATAATACCAGTGCTAGCACTTATCCAAAGACAGTGGTCTAGGCTGAAGATTCACTTAATTGCCAATAGGACAGACTGGTAATGATACAGAGCAACAGATCCCATTCAAACTGAACCTACCTCTGCAGACATAAAAGCTTCTGGCACTATTCAAAACTATGTTGCGATGTTTGTTTTGTTTTGTAAAGCTGGAGTATACAAACTGTGCTTTAAAAATAAAAAGAAAGCAACCCACAGTTTTGTTTGTTCCTTTGTGCCAATCTGGCCCTTCCACAATTGGGTGAATTCTCAGCCTATTCCAAAGCTTATGTGTGAGAAATATACTGCGGTACCTTTTGGTATGCTTTTACATAGCTGGGATCAAGGTCTTTCTCTTGTGGAGACTTATTCAATACCTCCATTGATCTTTCAGAAAACCAGCTTTGGTCTCAGATTTTCCAATCCCCCCCCCAAAAAATTATAATAATCACACCAATTCTATATTGATTTCTCTCAAGTTCTGAAATGTACTTCCATTTATGTCTATTCTTCCATGTCAGTCATTTAAAAAAAAAGAGTCTTGTGGCACCTTAAAGATTAATACAACAAAAGAGAACATGACTCCCTCTAGAACTTGTTGGAGTATGCAGAACTAATTTCAAAATCAGTCCGAGTGTCATCAATGGAATAAGCAAGATTGTTGTTATATGCCTGTCAGTGTGTGGATGATGGGTGTTGCAGTGATGCTCTTTGGCACCCAACAGAATCTGCAGGACAAGCTGTCTGTTGTGATCCACAGCCACTTTGTATCTCTTACCATCAACTGGCTCAGCTTCCCTTCTTCAGGATCCTGTCTTTCTTAGTCAAGAAGACACATTGCAAAGGCCAAAAGCATAGTTTATTAATGCATATAAAAGAAAAATAAGATACATAAGTAAAATCCATTGTGATGAACTAATTCAGTTCAGCCATGAAAAATTACATCTTTAACAATCCCAAAAGCTTAGGATCCCAACTTGTTGCAGTTGCACTCACATCTTGAATAATAATCATTCTTAAAACAAAATATTCTCTAGGCCCTTCCCATACTCCACCTTCTGGGTGTTAACCTTATGTTGATTGGATAATGCCTGTATGATGTATATTAACCCAGCCTCTTGCTGTCCATTATCCACCACGTGATCTCCTTTCCCAGCCTAACGATTGTTTACCTTTTTTGATATCTCTTGCTTTCCATAACAAAGTCTGTGTCTATGGACATTATCACATGGGGTCTAAAGCAGTGCCATCCCCATCACATCCCCATCCCATTCCACTTCCTTTTCCCCTGTGTTCACACGACGTCGCAGAGAAACCCCGCCCATCCCTGTCCCATTGCGGTTCTTTTCCCCGTGTCTTCACACGACGTCGCACCCATCCCCGTCCCATTGCGGCATCATCCGGCATCATCCCCGTTCTTTTGAATGCCAGATTCTTTGGGAATTACATTTCTGCCGCGACCAGAATGATACCGGAATGCTGCTGCTTTCTTTTTGCCGGTAAGTTCTGGATTGAAAAGGAACCGCAATGGGACGGAGATGCGACGGGGATGGGACTGCTTTAGGCCCCGTGTGATAACGTCCTATGAGTTGTACCTTTGGGAAAGTACATGTTTATGTCTTCTTGGACATTTGGTGTTAGATTTGTTTCTCTAGATGTTGTTCTCATGAGGAAAATTCCACACACACATCTCTACATTTCACCTTTGACTGTGTAACCCATCTATATTCTAACAATGCCTTCAAGTTATTTCTGATCTATGGAGATCCTAAGGTGAACCTATAAGGGTGTTGATATCAATATTCATTCAGAGGAAACTTGCCATTGCCTTCCTTTGAGGGTGAGAGAGTGTGATTTGCCAAAGATCACCCAGTGAACTCCCATAGCTGAGTGGGGATTCAAATCCTGGTCTCCCAGAGTCCTGGTCCAACACTAAACCACTACATCATGTAATATATTATACTGTAATTCAAAGGAGGATACAGGTAGAATTGCTTTTGAAATGAGACAGTGGGCTCAACATTGGCAAGCAGTTTGTTATTAATTCTGCCTGCTTGTAGTTATTTGCAAGAGAAGGGCAAATTACTTTTCCATCCAAGATCACAGAGATATCCTTAAATGTGAAAATTTTCATAAGCCCAATGTGTACCCTCTATGTGTTTAGTGTACTTTACTCCCAAACATAGATAGCCTTTATTATTCCTTCGAGGGCTCAGTGACAATTGTTGTCTAGGTATGTCCTACTGTATGTATTAATCATTTAATACAATTCTGCTTTATATTTCATGAGGAAGCTAAACTACATAGAACTCCTGGTGGTCCAATTGTGTCAAAGTGTGTTTTTTTTGGGGGGGGGTTACAAGGGATGGAGACAGCTTCCCCAAACCTAGGGTCCCTAGGAGTATAGTTCAATGTTAAAGCCACCTTGAATCCCATCTTGAGAGAAAGACAGGATATACATTCAACAAACAAACAAACAAACAAACAAACAAACAAACAAACAAACAAACAAACAAACATCTCCCTCCCCTTGTTTCCTCATTTCTTCCTCCTTTGCCACTACCTCCCCCTCACTCTGTTCTTGTGTGGGAGTGCTTTCAGACAATTGTGACTGCTTTCAAGCAAGCTTTCTTCTATTATCCCCTGTTTCTCTTGTGCTTTTATTTGGGATTTTTCACACATCCTTCCCATCTCCTTTACAGGCTCCAGTCAATGAGCTCTAAGACCTAAATGCCTCTTTGCACTTCATGGCTATTTCCTTCTCACATGCATTTTCTGTTGCCTTGAAGCAGATTTCTTCTTCTTCGTTGCCTTCTTCATCTTTGTCTTCTACTTTTTTGTTATTGAAATCTTCCCCCCTCAAGCTGATGGAAGATGTGTAAATGTGTCTAAAGATGGAGAACAGTGCTTCTTCTTCTTCTTTTAATCTTTCAGCAGAGCTTTGGGAATGTCTGAGTCTCTGGGGCACCCTCCTCTTCCCCATTAAAAATGAAGATGAAAAGAGCAATATCTGCACAATACAAGCAAAGCAACTTTAGTGCATTATTGTATCCTCCACTTAGCTGATGTCAGGAAAAAAAAAAAAAGGTGCACCTTTGCAGCTGTGCATCAGTCTTTTCCTTTTTGCTAGATAGCAGAATCCCCCAGTCATCCCCTGGCTGGATTTACATTATGCCATTAAGTATTGATTGTAATGCTTGAAAGCTTTATTGTTGCTGTTTATCAGAGCTTTTTGCACTGAACTCCGTGGAAAATAATACTCCCTAGCTGCTGCCTGATGTACACTTACAGTGAAGTCAAGTGAGAATGTGTTAAGGGAAGTAGAGGCATATTTTTTTTTTAAATCAGATTATTCATAAAGGGCATTTCTGTTAACTCAGCATTACCCAGTTACCCAAGATCCCAGCTCTGTCAGCGCACTTGCTGTCACAATTGCAATGATTTTTTTTCCTCTCCATGTAGCTATAATGTTTACACCAGTCACATTTTGTTGTTTAGCGACCAACATACCCTATTTGGTAGAAATGATCCCTGTTTAGGGATATAAGCCATCACACCCTATTTAGGTGTATTATTTGGTAGAAATGTATAGTTCTCTCTTCTGGAAAACATTCTATATCCACAGCTTGGCAAGTTTACTTTTGTGGGTGACAGCTCCAAAAATTCCTGTAGCAACATAGCCTGGATTCTGGGAGCTATTGCACTAAAATAACTTTTCCATGTTTTGTTCATATTATATTGAGGGCTTCTTTGGTTAGGCTGAGCAGGGTTGGGGCTCCTGGTCCCGACCTTTTGTTGAAGTGTAACATTTTCACAGAGTCTACCTCAGGAGTGGGAAACCTTTGCCCTGCCTGTTTTAGACTTCCTGTTTTAGCATTAGCTATTATGAGGTATGGCTGACAGTTGAAATCTTTTGATAAGCCAAGGAAGAATCACGTTGTTGCATTACATTGGTATACTTTTTATAGGGTCATGCTGTGGTGGTGAGAGAAGGCAACCAAAATCTGAGCAACCAATATTTTTTAGTGCCTTGTTTCATTCTTGGCAACTGAGCCCATAGTTATGCTGGCACAGAGCACCAGCAGGATTCTGGCTGAAATGTTCCCAAGCCCAATCATATTTGATTCTAATCCTCTGGAGAATAAAGGCTTTCCAATCACCCACACTTGTTGAGTGTAGATGTACATATGTCTGAACACGCTAAGAGCCAGCATGATGTAGTGGTCAGAGCACTGGACTTCAACTCCAGAGACTAGGGCTCAATTCTCCATTGGGCCATAGAAAACCACCGAGTGACCATGGGTGTATCACGCACTCTCAGGTCCAGAAAAGCCTATGATAGGTTCACGTTAGGGTTGCCATGAATCAGAAATGACTTGAAGGCACACAACAACAACAGAGGTTAGGATGAGGCACACAACAGTATGAATCTGTCCCCTTGGTGCATTCAGCAGCTCAACTATCTATCCATTCATTCATCCTTCCACCCAGTTTTGGTCATACTGGTCAATTGTCAATTGAGTGTGATAGGAAATATCTTGATAAGTAAGTAACAAGATTATGCCAAGTCTGATGAGTGGAAGATTGGCAGTTCAAGGCCTGACTGCTGCATGGAGCTCGGTGTCTTCAGTACACTGATGACACCCAGATATATCT